TTCCCAGGCCGTTTCCAACTTGTACCTCTGACTCAATTTTACATTTTTCAGTTAGATTCCAGAGATTGATTTTGTTTTTAAGTTTTTTGATATAAAGGTTTTGCTATGTAGCCCAAACTAGTTGCAAACTCTTATTTTTTGAAAAACAATTCCATTATTGTCTGTATGTAGGTTCTGGGAATGGAACTCAGACCGTCAGTTTTAAGCAGCGAGTACCCTGGCCTTCTAAACCATCTTGCTCACTCTTAAACCTGCCTCAGTCTTTCTAAAAATTTATTTATCCATTTATTTTTATTTTTTTGAGACAAGGGTCTCACTCCATAGGTCAGACTGGCCTTGAACTCAGGAGCCACCTGCTTCTGTCTCAGAAGTGCTGGGATTAAAGGTGTGTACCATCACTCCTGGCTTTGTCTCAGCCTCTGCAGTGCTGGGATTGTAGGTATGCACCACTACACCTAGCTCAGAGACTGAATTTTTAAAAATCATGTTTTAATTTTTTTCTAATGAACAGGTGTGTGTGAGAGTGTGTGTGTGTGTGTGTGTGTGTGTGTGTGTGTGTGTGTGTGTGTGTGTGAATTCCTGCACTCTGGAAGGTCAGGACAACTTTAAGGAGTAGGACCTAGATCAAACCCAGGTTGTCAGGCTTGGCAGTCGATGTCTTCAACTGCTGAATCATCCCTCTGGCCCCATTTTTTTTTTTTTTTTTTGTAATTTTTTTTTATTCAAATTAGGAACAAGCTTGTTTCACATGTCAATCCCTTCTCCCTCTCTCTTCCCCCTCTAGCCCCATTTTAAAATGCTTTCTTAATCACAATGAGAAACCATTTAGTTCTAAAATTTTATTTTATTGGTGTTTCAAGACAGGGTTTCTTTGGGTAGCCCTAGCTGTCCCAGAATTCACACTATAGACCAGACTGGCCTCTAACTCAGAATCCACCTGCCTCGGCCTACTGAGTGCTGGGATTAAAGATGTTCACCAACACCATCTACCTGCTTTATTAATTTTTCAAAAAATTTTATGGGGCTGGAGAAATGGCTCAGAGGCTAAGAGCACTGGTTGCTCTTCCAGAGGTCCTGAGTTCAATTCCCAGCAACCATCTGTTATGAGATCTGGTGCCCTCTTCTGGTGTGCAGATAGACATGGAAGCAGAATGCTGTATACAAAATAAATAAATAAAATCTTTAAAAAAAACTTTTAAATGTACAGATATTTAGCCTATATGAATTCTGAACACCAGTGTGTGCCTGGTGTCTACAGATCAGAAAAGGACATCAGTTCCCTGGGGTTAGCTGTTGGGAATGTTAGCTATGTTAACATAGGTGTTGGGAATGGAACCCTGCTCCTCTGGAGAGGAGGCAATGCTCTTAACACCGAGCCATCCCTCCAGCATCAAACTTAATGTTGTGTAGGCAGGGCCATAGCTTGTGGCAGACTACCAGCCTCAGCTGGGTGCTGGGATTACAGAAGCATACTATTACATCTGCCTAACATTTACGTATTGGGTGTTTATCAACTATTTTTTTTTTTTTCTGTTTCCTTTTCCCGAGACAGGGTTTCTCTGTGTGAGACCCCCGGCTGTCCTGGAACTCACTCTGTAGACCAGGATGACCTCGAACTCACAGAGATCATCCCGCCTCTGTTTTCCAGGTGCTGGAATTAAAGGTGTGCACGACTACTAACTGTTTACTTTTTTTTTTTAAGTTTCATTTATTTATTTATTTTTTTAGTTTTTCTTTTTCTTTTTTGTTTTCGAGACAGGGTTTCTCCGTGGCTTTGGAAGCTGTCCTGGAACTAGCTCTTGTAGACCAGGCTGGTCTCAAATTAACAGAGATCCGCTTGCCTCTGCCTCCTGAGTGCTGGGACTAAAGACGTGTGCCACCACCACCTGGCTCTTTTTCTGTTTATTTTTTCAAAGATTTTATTTATTATTTATTATGTATACAACATTCTGCTTCCATGTATATCTGCACACCAGAACAGGTCACCAGATCTCATAACTGGTTGTGAGCCACCATGTGGTTGCTGGGAATTGAACTCAGGATCTCTGGAAGAGCAATCAGTGCTCTTAACCTCTCCAGCCCCTCTTCTCTCTTTTTAAACAGAGGATCTCATTATATAGCTCTAGCTGGCCAGGAACTCACTTTGTAGAGGAGGTTAGCCATGTATTTAAAGTGACCCACCTGCTTCTGCCTCCTAAGTGCTGGGATTAAAGGCATACTTCACCAAGTCCTGCTAACTTCATTTTCAACAAATATTTACCAAGAGCCTATAATGTGCCAGCTTCTGTTTTAGGGGAGGAGAATAATTTTTTCTTTTTCACATTGGCATCCTAGTGGGAAATAAAGACACGATAAATGTGATTACCGCTTCAGAGAAAAGAACAGGAAAAGCCGCCAGGGACCATGACTACGATTCCTATGTTCTGACTTCACACCCCAAACAGTATCTGTTTCCCAACAGAGTTCCACAGAGGGTAGACAAGAAGCATCATGGACAACTTATAGATGGGTAGACTGGCCTGCAGATCCACATTGATGAATCAATTCCAGAGACCAGAAGCAGAAGTTCTACTCCTGTGGGCTAATTTAAAAGTTAACAGCTGGCTCTAACCCTCCACCCTCAGTTCTGTCATGAGCTGGTAGGCCAGGCAGGGAGGGGCCAGTTACCTAGTGACTAGCTTGGGCCTGACAAACAGAACCTTTCCTTCTCTCACCCATCACCTTCGACTGGGGTTCTGGAGGAGGATGCAGGGCGCATGTTTGAAGCCTTCAGATTTGTACAGAGAAGCTGGTGCTGTCCTCAATGGCCTGTGACTCACTTCTGCCCAGTGGATCTCATCAACTATGGTGGCTGTCTGGAGAGACACAGCACCATCTTCCTCCAGCTCTACACAGTAGCGTGTTTTTTATTGGTCAGGAAGGCCCCTAAGAACTTGCATAATTACCACCACCACCAAAAGGTGCCCCTTGAAGGTTAGCTGATTGAGCTTGAAAATAGGCATTATTTCAGGGTTTGAGAAGTTTACCTCTCCATGTAACTTTTTGGATTTTTGAGACAAGGTTTTTTGTTTTTGTTTTTTAAATATTTCATTTATTTATTTATTATGTATACAACATTCTGCTTCCATGTATATCTGCACACCAGAAGAGGGCACCAGATCTCATAAAAGATAGTTGTGAGCCACCATGTGGTTGCTGGGAATTGAACTCAGGACCTCCAGAAGAGCAGCCTAACTCTTAACCTCTGAGCCATCTCTCCAGCCAGAGACAAGGTTTTTGTGTTGTCCTGGCTGTCTGGAACTCCCTCAGTAGAACACTCTGGTCTCAAACTCAGGGATTCATTCCCTGACACCCCCCACTGCTAGGATTAAAGGCACACACCTTTTTTAAAGATTTATTTGTAAATAGTCAGGAGTAGTGGAACACACCTTTAATCCCAATACTTAGGAGACGGGAGACTGGAGGATCTCTAAGTTTTTGAGGCCAACCTGGTCTACATAATGAGTTCAAGGACCGCCAGGGCTATAGTGAGGGATCCTGTCTCAAAACAAACAAAAAGATTATTTGTATGTACTAAAAGTTTTTCCTTTTTATACTTAAATGTGTATGAGTGTTTTTCTTGCATGTATGTGTATCTCATATGTGCCTACAGATGCTGTGAACCACCATGTCAGTGTTGGGAACTGAACCCAGGTCCTTTCACAAGAACAGCAAGCACTCTTTTTTGTTGTTATTATTGGTTTGAGACAGGGTTTCTCTGTGTAATAGCTCTGGCTGTCCTGGAACTCCCACTGTAGACCTCAAACTCAGAGATTCGCTTGCCTCTGCCCCCTGAATGCTGGAACTAAAGGTGTGCGCCACAACTACCCGGCTGAGCAAGTGTTCTTAACCATTGAGCAACCTCTCCAGCCTGTACTTTTATATACGATTTTGTGATCCAGATCCAAGGGGTTGAAGTCAAGACCTGTCTTTGCAAGGAATTTGTACTTATGAGAGGCAGATGTGAGTTTCCCTTGGAGATGGGGAGAGGAGCCAATTGTCCTTTTTCAGAGCATTCCACCCTTCCTGGGGGAAAGCCCACTCTGCCAGGAGTAGGTAGCATGGGAGGGAGAGGAGGGAACTGGAGGGTTTCCTGTGAAGGATGCTGTGTGTGCATATCAACCTTGTGTTTCGTGAAGCACTTGTGACTTAATGTCACTTTGAAAAGGGTTAAAGCCACTAACACCACCTGTAAAAGCTATTACAGTTATTTATGCAGGGGAAGGAAATTCTGAGCACCGTGGGAGGGAAAATAGTGTGGGCATCTGGGGAGGGATGGTAGGTTGGTGGGCTTCCATTTGAGCTGTAGTTTTAGAGTAAATAGACAGAGGTGCTGTCTGAGATATGAGGTGTATTAAAGTGACAGGGGCCGGGCAGTGGTGGCGAACGTCTTTAATCCCAGTCCTTGGGAGGCAGAGGCAGGCGGATCTCTGTGAGTTCGAGACCACCCTGGTCTACAAGAGCTAGTTCCAGGACAGGCTCCAAAGCCACAGAGAAAGCCTGTCTTGAAAAACCAGAAGAGAGAGACAGGCAGGGCATGCACAGCAAACCGTGTACGTCATCACACGTCACCCGCTGTGTCTCTATCTCCTCTCGGATTGGCTGACAGTCCAACCCCTTCCTCCCCCCTCTTCCTGTCAATAAACTACAGGTTGTTCATCCGTAGTTTCCTTTCTTTACACCAATAGCTGCAGCAAGAAAGTTTAACACTAAGGACACTAAAGAAAATGAGAAAAAGGGTTGGGAATATAGCTCAGTGGTAGAGTGCAAGGCCCTAGTAGGTTCATCAGTACTGGGGGAAAATTCCATAGGGTTTTAAAAATTTTTATTCTCCACTACCCCATCTTTTCTGCCTTGTCATTATTTCCTAAACAACACAACTATATTTTAACTATTCAAACATCAACTAAGTATTAGCTATTCAAAGTAATCTTGAAATAATTCAAAAAATACCAGGAGGATGGGTTCTTTATCTTTTATTTGATGTGTGTTTGTGTGTCCATGCACCCACCACGGGCTGCACTTGCAGGTGTGTCAGTCAGAGGACAATGTATGGGAGCCAGTTCTCTCCTTACATCATGCAGTGCTGGGGATGGAACTTGGGTCCTCAGGCTTGGCAGCAAATGCCTTTACTCACTGAGCCATCTCGCTGGCACCTGGATGGGGGTTCTATGTAAACACCACTATTACAGGACTTGAGTATCCTTGCACTTTCCTACCTGCTGGAGTCCCAGGTCTGATCCCTGAGGAAACCTCAGGCCAACATCATGTGCTTAGCATTAGGGTGGCAGGAAATAAGATACCCAAGCAGATTGTAGGAGAAGAATGTTGTAGAGGTGGCAGCTAGCAGGATAAAATGCAGAGGACGTGATCAGCTGGTGAAAAGGCCTAGGAGAGACAAGAATGTTTAGTCAAAGGATTCAATACATAGAGCAATGAGGTCAAGCTAAGAGGGAATATGGCTGGGGAAATAGCTACTCCATCCTCCACAGGTGAATCCCCCTGAATCTTAAATTTGGAAGAAAGCAAACTGTTACGGTTATGGTACCCAGAACATCAGCTTCATTTGAATAGCATCATTGGGTGAGCCCCTTTCTGACACGGGTTCATACAGTACTCATGTGACTAGAGCGTGTTTCTTAGTACAACCTCCATTTTACAGGTGAGGAAACAAGACTGTCTTCCTCCAGTGTCTGGTATCTGTATATATTGCCTAGACGTTACAGTGTTCCTTTATGTAAATGCCTTCCTTCCAGCAGTGCCTCTGACTTGAGACAATACACAGAAAAGCTTTGTTTCTTTCTGTTTTCAATCGAGCCACCTAATCATGAGGCGTTATGAATCTGCTGGACCTCTGGTTCCCTACATGTCAGCCTATAGTATTCAGGAAACCTAGGAAGAGGCGATGGTTACAGCCAAAAGGCCAAGTGGCCTCTCAAAATTCCCCAAGTCTATTCTGGTTCTCTCTCTGGGGCAGCTCTTAGATACCATCTTCTGCCAAGTAGAGTTTAGAGTTTGTTTCTCAGAAGCTCTAAGAAGTGGGAGGTTAGGGGAAAAAAAAAAAAAAACAACCAAAAACCCTGCATCTGCACCAACAACTGCAAAATCCCCTGCAGCAGCCTGAATACAAAGGGCTGGAGTTCTCAACAAAGGGCTGGGTGAGACTGGAAAGTAAATGCTGACACATCCTCTCTCCAGCTGTGAACTGGGGGTCTGAGGGCTGCTGCAAAGGTCATCTGTCTCCACATCTTTGGGCAGGAAATGCAATTCAATCCTTCCAGTGACTGATCACTTTACAAGATTAATGGAAATGTCTCCAACATGGGTCTGTGTTCTGACAGCACAAAAAGTGCATCAAACTTCTCCCCTGGCCTCCTACTCAGAGAGGTCAGCTGATTCCTTGTCTTTCAAAACTTTCCTCCAGGACCTCTGTTCTCTGGTATTCCTTTGATAGGGGACCCTGTCTCCAGGGATTGGACCCAAAGATAGCACCTGAAGGTGGGAGGACTCTTCTGTTTGTGCTTCAAAATAAAAGAAATGCAAAGGGCATGGTAGGCTCTGAAGGGTTAACTGCCAGCCTTCTTGTCCATCCCTCAGGAATGGTCAGCCAGTGACAACTGAGCATGCCTGCCCTTTTATTTCCATTGGCTGCCATACATGTCCATCAATCCCAAGATGCAAGTTTTGAAAGAATCTTTGAACTTTTATGACTCTCTTCACAGCATTAACCCTTTAACTCACCTGTGGTTTCAAGGGTTAGTCCCATCCTTACACAGGAAGAGACATAACAGCAAGCAGGATTCTAGATAGAACATTAAGCTTTCCCCCAAGAGTCAGGCCTGACTGTCTTTGTACAGTTTTGTTTTTCCTTTTTTACTTCAATCCACAAGGGATTGAGGAGTAAAAAACAAAATAAATGATCACTTTAACAGAAACAGCTTGATCTGCTGATATATTAAATAAAGTATATTTTAAGTTACAAAAGTAATACATAATACAAAGTAGAATAAAACTTGCCTAAGATTTGTCAGTGCTGGATCTTGAACACAAGGTTTTACTGTATTTAATTTCTACTCATGTGCCACCACCCATCTGCCAGCATTCTGTGAATTGAACCCACAGCCTCTACATGCTGGCAAGCACTCTATTCTTGAGCTACGCCACCAACTTAGAATTCATTTCTGAGCAGGTAACACATCTCCATGGTATAAAGTTGAAAAGGCACTATAGCATGTAGAACGAAATTAACCCACTTGGATCTGACTCAGGCACTATTCATACATACAAGTGGTTAAGGTATCACAGTGTACCAAAGAATAACTTCCTTCTCGTGTCATGTTTCTTTTCTCCACTGTTGTGTCTTTCAAAAGAAAAGTCAATGCATGGAAATGGTTAAGTGGTGGCACGGTCTTTTAATCCAAGCTCTTGGGAGACAGGGACAGGTGGAGCTCTGTGAGTTGGAGGTCAGCCTGGTCTACAGAGTGATTTCCAAGACATCTAGGGCTACACAGTGAAACCCTGTCTCAAAAACCAAACCAAAACAAAACAAAAAATATGTATAGATCTGTAGAAATATCTTCTTTGGTTTACCCAAGCAGTGATCAAATTTAGTATTCTATATCTTGTTTTTATTTAAGGATACCATCAAGTCATTCCATGTGCGCCTATATTCTCCTTTTATAATGCTGAAGATCAAACCAAGAGCCTTAGTTTAATTTTTTTTTTTTTTATGTGTGTTTTTGACAGGAACTCACTATGATTAGCCTGGAATTCCTGATCTCAAGCTCTGAGTTATATCATATGGTCCTTGAGTCTATCCATAGGCTGTATATCATCCTTTAGAAATTTATTTTTAAGATGTGGGCAGGTGGGTCAATCCCATCCAACTGGTACCCAGCCAGGCTCGAAGGCGTTAGGCACAAGTGCTTTTAAGTCTGAGGCTGCAGAATCTATATTGTACCATATGTGCTCTTCCATATACCTTTGCTGATGTCTTTGCCTCCATGGACTCTTCACTCATTCAGCTAATGTTTTGGGGTAGTTGGTTATGGAGATGCTAAGCCAAATCGGATCTTGACTCATGCATAAATAGCCTGGTAGGTACTTTAAGAGCAATAGTGGCAAATACCCAAAGGCTTCATTGTTTTAATTTTTTTTAACTTTATTTTATGTGCATTGGTGTGAAGGTATCAGATCCCCTGGAACTGGACAGTTGTGAGCTGCCATGTGGGTGCTGGGAATTGAACTCAGGTCCTCTAAGAAGAGCAGTCAGTGCTCTTAACCTCTGAGCCATCTCTCCAGCCCCATGCTTTAAGTTTCTGTTTGCTTGTTTGCTTGCAGCTCTGGGATTGGATCCAGGGCCTTGCATATGACGCCAAGCAAGTGTTGATTCATTGAGCTATAACCCTAACCCAATAATTTTTTATTTTTGAGACAGGTTTTCACTATGCTACCCTGGCATGCACTACCATGCCCAGCTTAAGTCTGAGTATTTTTGCTACAAGTGTTATTTTAATAGTACAGTGAGTTCTTGGTTATCATTCACAAGCAGCTGGATTCCATCCCATGAGCACATGCACTTGTGCACACACATCAGGGGCAACTATAATTGACAGCAAAGGTATATAATATTCCTCTCTGTTCTACGTCAGAGTCCTACAGGCAGGCTTACATAGTGGCCAGTCTTGTGGGCTCTGGATTCCTACAAGCTCTTGGTTCAAATCTTATTGTGGTCAAATAACTTAGCATTTCTTTGAGCCTTAGCTATAAATGGGGAGAAACTGGCAACAATTTAAAGAGATGGCAGCTCACAGGCACCACAAGTTCTTAGCAGCCTGGCGCTAGAAGCTGGGATAGTCCCAAGACTCAGGAGACAGAGGCAGGAGGCTCAGGCAAAGTTTGAGACTGGCTTGGTTTACACAGCAAGATCCAGGCTATCTAGGATTAGGAAAAGACACTGTCTATCAGAGAGGAAAGCCAAAAGCCAGTATAATGGGATGAGAACAGTTTGTTTCTTCCAGGTCCAGAAACCCTGGCATCTGAGGGCTCCATCCAGAATCAGTCATCATCTTGTTAAGCCACTGGTATACCTCCCAGCCACCACCTCACATTGTGTGTGTGTGTGTAAGTGAGGCTGTTACTTCTAGGTTTTCTGTTCTTTTTTGTCTTTGGACAGAGTTGCTTAATTAGCTTGTGAGGAGGATGAAACAATAGCATGAGTGTAACACAGGTAGGATTTGCCTGGGTCTTTTTTTATTACTTTGTTTCCAGTAGGGCTGGCTTGTTTTTCTGCATTAAAAGTTCATCTTTTGAATAAGCCCCTTCATCTCTTCTCTTAACTCTCACCTAGTCTAAGCTCCTAGGGGACAATCAGCCAAAGTTACAGCTTAAGGGTCTGGCCCTTCCCCCTTTGGTCCAAAATAACCTCCTCCCCCACTTGGAGTGAATGCTTGGAATTCTTTCAACCGAGGACAGAGCCTTTCATCTGCCAATTACTGATAAAGAGAAAATGCAAATATGCTGGAGAAGGTGATCCATCACGGGTCCAACGTTTATTGAGTGACCACTTAGACCCAGGAGAGGGGTAGGCATTCTGGGGGAGTCAAAGGGGAACAAACTGCAGGCTGGCCCATTCTTCTCTTAGGTCTGTGGTTTCCTCGAGGTTTGTAAAGGGAGGGGATTAAATCAGGTGACTACTCAACAACCCCTTCCCACTCTTGACTAGCCAGGAACTCCCCAATGATGTGATATATGGTCTTAACTGCTTTTATATGAAAGTGGCTAACATTAGACTTTTTCCTAATGCCAGCATTTGGGGGCACTGCAGGAAGCCAAAGGGGAAGAGAGGAGAGCCTCAGGGAGGAGGATGAAGAGCTCAACTGTCCCATTTGACAGTTTTGCTTTATGCTTGCACTGATTCTCAACCCAAGCCCCTCCTTTAAGCAGCTTAATTTCATTTTGAAGCATAAATGAAATTGGTGAGCACTTAAAAAGGCAAACTGTGTGATCGTGGGTGAATGGTTTTTGCCTTTCTGAATCCCAGCTTCCTGGTTTACAAAACGGAAGTACAATATAAGACATTTCCTTTAAAAGATTCTTTCTCACAAATAAAATGATCCGTGTTTCCTTTTTCTTTTCTTTCTTTCTTTCTTTTCGTTTTCTTTTTCTTTCTTTCTTTCTTTTTTTTTTTTGGTGTTGAGTTTGGAACCCAGGGCCTTAAGGTTTCTAGGCCAAATGTTCCACCACTAAACTACATCCCAGCTGGTCCCTGGTTTTCAACAGAGGGATGGCGAGAAAGTCTGCCCACTGGATGCAGCTGAACCAATGCAGATGCGATTCCGATTGGTGACAAAATTTGATGTTTTTTGCCTCATCCCAATGTAAAAGATTTCTACCACTAACGTGTATGTACGGAATTAAAACAAGCTTCCAATAGCAGCTTTGGGGACAGGCAGAAAGAAGTACAGCACGATTTGGTAGGAAATTCTAACATGAGTGATGGAGAAGTACATTATCTCTAAGAGTGACCAATCCTGAGTCTGCCTCACAGCTGATCTCAGGTGGCAAGGCCACTTCCTCCCCACATCTGTCTGAGCCTGAGCTGTTGACACTGGAACAAGATAAAAAGAACCACCACCCAGATTTATAATTTCTTGAATCTGGATTTCGAAATGTGCAAATTGACCTGCATTAACTTGTATACTGGGTAAGAAGTTGCAATCGGTACCTACTAGGATCATCTAAGAGGTTTCTCAGCGTATTCCTGGTGCTATGTCATTAGGCCTTGCAGGGTGTAAACGGCTGGGTGGGAACTAAGTTTAGGGCCAGCTTGTCTCATAATTCAAATGGACCAATTCTGGGAGCAGTCACAGCACTACTCAAGGGGACAGAGGGACACTGGGGATCTGATATTCTGTGCATATTCAGAGGGTGCTCCTACCTCCGCTAAGAAACAAAATGAATTAATCAAGGTGTGCTATCTCAGAAAGCCACGAACATCCCCACCACTTTCTTTTTAAGTTGCCACACAAGGAGCTTACCTTTCGCCTGCTTCTGGGTTGCGTTAGAGACGCTGACTCCGGTTCTGTTTCTCTCCTGTATATCGATTTATCTCTTCTCAGCGAGTGTAGAGACTTTTTTTTTTCCTCGCCCAACTTCTGATTTCAGGGCTCTTCAACCGAGGCTGTCCGAATAAATGAATGAATGAATGAATGGCTGTCTTCCGGTCAGCTGCAGTCTGAAAAGGCCGTGGACTGGCTGTATTTCCTGTACCTGTGTGCCCATATTATTATTTCAGTCCCGGGAGCTTAAAAGTAACGCAGTCTACAGATACAGAGCTGCGCTAATTTCTTTCTGAGCCCCTCAGATGCCTCCTCCATATGGCAGGTTCGCAAAAGGAGAGGGGTCTGGACAGGCTGGCCCCTCCCCCCTAGACATGCAGTAGAAAAGCAAAACCAGAAAAAGAAATTATAAATACAAAATACTTTTGAATGTAGGTTGCAAGCACAGGTAATGAGGAGAGGTAGACGCGGGAAAGGAGGAGCAGCCGTGGGTAACCCCCGCAAGGGGGCAGGGGCAGAGGTGGGGGGTCGTTTTGGGGGGGGCCAGGCCC